GATACCACAGGTGCATGAACTTCTGCTTCTGGAATTTGAAATAAAAAAGCAAACCGTTTATTAGTGTAATCGTTTTGCTTGACTCGGGCGTTAAAATAGTTGGACAAATCGAAAACGTTTTAAAATGCTTAAATGTATAAATACAAGTTCATTAAATTCCCAGGCGTGTAAGCACGCGCGTTTAAGAACGGCTTAAGAACAATGAGATAATTTCTATAGTGTCACTTTTTTTTGGGACACCCTGTACAGGGTGTCTCAAAAAAACCGCTACCCTTGGAAATTCACCATTGTTCTAATTTGAATGCCTGTAATTTAAGACAATAAATACTCCTTTGCTCTGTGCTCAGTTGAGCCACAGTTTATAGACTAAGATGGTTGGGCTAGCTGCTGACGTCACAGAATATGTCATTGTTCTCAATTTATTTGCGTCACGTGACAAGAAAGCGGTATGCTGTTTCAAAACATTGTATATTTTTCTATATGAGTAGATCATATTTGCAGATAAAATGACGTTTTTCCGATTGTCTCACGAAGTTAATTCAAAGCATATGTTTGTGATGGTTCGTGTTAAGTACGTTGAGATGCAAATATCATTATCTGAAACACATGAGGGTGTAAAAACAAAAAATAAAGCCGATATGGAGGGGTCAAAATATCTCGCACAAATCGCATTTTTGCTTCTGGAGAACAATTCGAAGAGATCTAAAATATTACAAATTTGAAACGTCATTTAAACGGAAACATGGATCAGTTAAGATGTTATTGTGAATGAAAACAGCTGCGAACACGATGAGAATCAAATATCAGTGTATTGCCACAGTCGCGACAAAAAGTTGTATACACAACAGTCTTGAGAAGCTGTGTGCTTTTATTGAGTGTATCTTTATATTTTCCATTATGTATTACAAAAGTCAATAAGACATAATTATACATGATACTGGTAGGAAGATAATGAGAGAAATATACACTGTTGTTATTGTTTAATATATCTGTAAATAGGGATATTTACAGATACTATTTACAGGAACAGTTACTTCCTATTCACGTCCTTTCTGAGCGCTTTGCCTTTGGTCTTTTTTGCTTCTCTTTTATTTTGTACTTTAAAGTACATATGAAAAAGATCTAACTTTTAAGTAGAGTTTTAACAATATCTTCCAAGCACAATTTTGGAGTTGCAGATGAACTGTCAACCCCAGAAGATAAAACAATGTTCTCCCATAATCACTTCACAACAGGAGAGTCGAGCACTGAATTGCAAATATGAACGTTCTGTATAGCTTAGGCTATAGGCTATAGGTATACTTCTTATTAATGTATCATTGTCATTGATCTTGTTGATTTCACCTCTGAAAGTAACTCAGAAACTTCACTAATAATATGAATTAAGTCGTCACAAGGGCATACAAACCCACCTCTGGTTCGAGCAGAAATAAAAGTATTTGTCGTTTCAGTTGACTTCATGACTTGCAATAAGGCTTGAATTTCATCGTTGGACTGGGCTTTCTTTCATTGGTTTTTGAGAACAAGCTTTATTCAAAATATGGATATATTGCGAGTAAAGCTTGTTCACAAAATCGAACAACGAAAGGCCAGTCCAACGATGAAATTCAAGCCTTATTGCAAGTCATGCAAAGACTTTTATTTCTGCTCGAACCGCAGAAGTGAGATTGTGCAAAGCAATGTAGGACAATGGTCGGCATTCAGCTGGGTTCAAGTGTGGCTGGCGTGTCGTCTTGCGTTTTGTTCATTGTGGAAGTCTTATAGATGCCAACAAAAAAACAGGCAGTTGAATCAGTACTAAGTTCGCTATTCTATAATCATCACACTTCAACCACTTTTCCAATGGAGGAATTAAGCCATAAAAGGTTTCGAGCAACTTGTCCTGATTCTTTTCCTTCCAAATTATTTCGTACATAGGAAGCAGAGCAGTAAACGGTGCTGCAATAGAACTCTCGTTGCCATATAGACCTTCGTTTATAATTCTAGCTTTGATTGCTTCAACAAAGCCATCAACTGTATCTTTGTCTAGATTGTCCTTGTATACCTCGGCAGTCTTGGGCTCGGCATGTTTAGAATTTGTACACCTTGTATATTAAAAGAGCACCTTCGATTTGCATATTTTACAGCATTTCTCGCACTCAAATGCCTTCTTGCCTTTGATTTCGTTTGCAGCTTAATTGAACTCATTGTCAATTTCATTTGTCTCCGTTTGAGCCACCAAAACATCAAACAAAAGGTTGAAACTGTCGTCTGAATCGTCATCAGATAAATCGATCTCTTCGAACCTTCCAATGCTTGCTTCATTTTCGCAGTCGTATTCGCTCATTTTGGTTTGTAAAAGACTGTTTCATTCTCGACGAACTTGCCAGACAATAACGATAACAATCCTATTAAATGACCCTCCTCAAACAAAGCGAAATATGATATTTTATCCAGATATTTGATTTTTCCTAATAGAAAACTATATAAAAACACACGCAGCGTACCGCTTCATGGACACGTGACTTTTTTATCCTTTGATCCCCAACATAATTTGCCGCCGCCTTTGAAGTTTGCCGGCTAGCCCAACCATCTTAGTCTATAAACTGTGGTTGAGCCATTTGCTTGACATTCACTAATATGTAATTGAACGATTTTCGTGCAGTTATACTTTTGTATGAACCTACTTTCAATTCCCAGGATAAACAATTTCGCTTTTCAAGGATATTTTAATTCCGAAGATCTTTAATATATGCATCCTGTGAAAATGTTTACGCATTCACGGCTTCAACAAGGTTCAGGCATTCAAATTAGAACAATGATGAATTTCTAAGGGTAGCGGTTTTTTTGAGACACCCTGTATAGTCATGTTAACAAATAACAGAAA